TTTTGATGAATCTCCATACATTTCCTTATAACAGGACACCACAGAAACCAAGCTTGGGCTACCTGTGCACGAACGATCAAAACATTGCGTGCGCATTACCGGAAATGATGTCACACAATTCCAAAATGACGTATTTAGTAATTAGCGCGTGACGTCATAATTACTTTTTTCCAATAAAAAGCGCAATCAGCCAATGAGCATTYATTTTCTTTCGAAACTTCTCTRCGAGTTGAACTAGAAAGAGCACTTCGTAAAATCATATTAAAACTCAGTGRAAATGACGCGATKAATTTTTGATATAGCGAAGACCGTKTTGGTTCTTTTGGTGATGAACGTTATTGTGTGTGATGGGAAGTCGCTGCTCTGTCACGTGATAGGTAAGGAAATTCCCGCCGGTCACATGACTTGGTGTTTGTCGCCATGTTTGAAGTCAGAGGCCAGCATTTTTAGATCGTAAACCGGCAAAAACTGAAATCTTGTAAAATTCGCAACTGAAGTAAAACAAGTAAATTTTTTCAAAATCCTGGTTTGCAAGTAGTTTCGATATAATGAAATTACAAAAGACGTGTCCGCTTGTGTGAATATTATACGGTTGAACAAACATGGCGGTCGGAGAAAATCACGTGATCTCATAATTGTTAATAACCACGTGACTCATGCCTGGAGCTTAATTTTGCTAATACTTTTCAAACATCTGAATTAAGTTTCTTTCTGAAAACGTTTTCTGTGTTTCAGGATTATTTAACCACAGTACATGGGTTGCTATTGTCCAGGAGATCGTACAGCACAAGTTGAAGTATTTCGGTAACATTTGCTGCTTGGTGTTTGTCATCTGGGTGGCACGACGCATAAATCGGTGAGTTAGATAACTAAATGCTGTTGGTTGGTTAATAAATAACAAATTACATTTATAAAGCGCAGATTAGCACAAGATGTTCATCTGCGCTGAATACAGAAACAATACACAATAACTAGAAACATAAAAGCTAAGTTAATCRATGGGAATTGCAAAAACAACTAAATAAAGGCTTTTCTATAAAAATGTCTTTAAGTGTTCTTTAAAAGAAGGTAATGATGTAATATGCCTAATACTAGATGGTAAAGTGTTCCATTCTACTGGCGCAGCGTATGAAAAAGTCCTACCACCAAGAGTAGGTCGAAGTTTAGTCGGTGGAGGTGCTGATAAAAGCTCATTATTGGACCTAAGATTATAACCAGACTGCTTTTTGATAGAAATTAAATCAGATAAGTAACTAGGAGCGAGACCATGAATAGCCTTAAAAGCAAAAATAAGTATCTTAAAACGTATTCTAAATCTCACTGGTAGCCAGTGGAGATCAGCCAAGACAGGAGTAATATGCGAAAAGCGTGGAGTTAAAGACACTAAACGAGTTGGTTGATGCTAGTGCAGGTAACGCTTAATGGACAGATGGTT